CACACTTGTACCTTTTAAACGATTATTGGGTACTGTGGTGCGGCTACTATCCCGACTATACTTTGAGAGCTTTATAATACTTGCTATACCACTTAAAAAGAATACCAAGACCCATTAGAGGAAAGAGGAATAACAGTGGCCGAGTGCATTTTATGATTATATTTCATCATCATCAATCAATCATCATAATAATTATATATAGTTCACTAGCTGACCTAGCGAACTTCGTACCGCCATAAAAATAGGGGCAAGTGGTAGAAGAGAAAATTTTGCGTTGTGTGTATTTTTAATACCACATTATAAAACTAAATATTGTCCAAAATAACATTCCTCCTAACCCATGAGAACACTACGTTACAATACCCAATAGTTTGAATTTTGGCGCGAAGGTGCAAAAGCAGGTTTCAGAAAACTACGTCACGTACGTTACAGGTGGACAATCATTATCACTTAAGGATATGAAAAATAGATAGTAGCCGATTCTCAGGCCCACGGAATATGTATATAAAATTTCATAAAAATTGGTCAGGTCGTTTCGAAGGAGTATGGTAACTAACATTGTGACACGAGAATTTTAAAGAGTGTAACTTTTAGATACATACTTCAAGAAACATTGTACATACCTTGTTTGGAAATGTAGATACTACAAAAGCAAAGTAGGTTGGTAGGTAAATGGGAAGTGTAACACAAATAAGGTTTGGAAACATACCCTAATCTTTTTATTTGGCCTTGTCACAAGAGAAGGTCGCCCACCTTTAATCTGAAGCGCAGATACTCCGAACGTAACCTCACGTCACATCACCCACATAGGTACAAACGGACGAATTCCAGTTTACCTTATCTGTATTATGACGACTCGTGAAATACGCTCTCGTGAAAACTACAGAGGCATTCCTCGATTCATACGTAGTAATATGATAAATACGAATGTTAATTTGTCTGTAAGTAGGTGTGGCATAGTGGATTTTTCGATCGAATTGAAGCGCGTCTTCTAAGGAATTCACCTTAATATTACTGAAATTCACAATAAAAAAATAATAGTTTAAAAAAACTAAAAACACGCTTTTATTTACTGCACTGAAAAGCCAAAAATAAACAAAATATACTCTCTGTTTACTTCATTAGAGCCTTAGAGTTAGCCGGATTTATAGTTTATTGTAACATACATAAATAACTGAAAAAGCGTGGGGCGCTATTCATGCAATGTTTATCAAATCAATTAATATATTACGTGATTTATAATGCTTAACAATTCAGTTAATATTTTATAATGAAGCGCCCCACGTTCAATTAGCCACTATCCAGTCCCATCATCAGACCAGCTCGATGGTACCATATTATTGTATTGTCATCTAATCTACATATAATTGCCAAGTTTTATTATGTTAAGACGAATCTCATGAGCCCAAACTCGATTTGTTTATTAGTAGGCAGCCCAGGGTGCATCAGCCACCCTCCAGTCCATCGTCAGATCCTCGTCATCAGGAAAAATAAATAGAATATGTTAAGATGAATCTAATGAGCCCAAACTCGATATGTTTACAAGTAGGCAGTCCAAGGTTCCATCAGCCACCTTCCAGTCCCATCATCAGACCAGCTCGATGGTAACATAATATTGTATTGTCATCTAATCTACATATAATTGCCAAGTTTCATGATGATACAAGAATTAGAACTGCGTGTAATTCAGATTCTTAGATTTTATTTCATAGTTACATACAGGTCGACCTAATAAAAGCGTGTTAAAAAAATATCATTTTGGTTGTCGTCGACTCAATTCGTAATGTAAGATTTCCTGCCTGGGATCTATGGGGTTGGGGATGGTGTCAGGTTGTGCAACCTTCGATTGATACTCTGTTATCGCAAACATCTAAGGCTGTGACGCCGGCGTACCATGAAACAGGCCAAGTTAGTGTGCTTTTTTGCCCCCCCTTTGAAAAATTGATTTTACTTCAAAGCCGTTGCACTGTTTCTAATATTGATAAATTGGTATTAAATAAATAAACTGGACCTCGAACTTTGCGATTTGACGATAAGCTTTTTATTGCGAAAATTAAATTCGAACGGGATTAAATAAGGTACCTATTGAATTTTTTTTTGAAGTAAGTAACTAGGTAGGTAGGTACTTACCTGCCATAAAATAATTTCTGAAGTCTTTTGTCGTTCTTACAAAATGTGTTAGTTAACTAAAATGAAGAGGTTGTAAACACCAAGTTATAAGAAGCTATGGAAAGGGCTATGCTCGGAGTATCCCTGAAGGACCGCATCAGAAATGATGTAATCCGACAGAGAGCCAAAGTCACCGACATAGCCCACCGAATTAGCAAAATGAAGTAGCAGTGGGCTGGTCACATTAGCCGCAGAACTGACGGCCGTTGGAGCCGGAAAGTTCGTGAGTGGAGACCACGACTCGGTAAACGTTAGTACGTTGTCGTCGTTAGTATCACACTAGTGTGTATGACGCCCTGAGAAAAGATGAGATGATGACATTCGTAGACTGGCTGGAGTGGGCTGGATGAGAGTGGCAGAAAATCGGGAGCAGTGGCGTGCATTAGGGGAGACTTATGTCCAACAGTGGACGAGCATGGGTTGATGATGATGAAACACCAAGTAATCGTCATAGACGAAACGGGGCGTAGGTACTATATAGTCGCTGTATAAACAAAAGCGTAATAAAGACGAGATTCCTAGCGTGACCCGGTTAATTAAATAACATAGATGTACATAAAGTTCCACTGCTCTAGTCTGAGCTTGACAGAAGAATGGAGCACGCCATTTGCTTAAATTTTCATTTCGTGCAGATAGTGAAATCCTATCAGCAGACAGGGTAGGCCACAACGACGCCATATTGCTTCGACATGAGAGTAATCTAGTGTCTTACTTTACGACATTGAAAAATACATAAGTAGGATGGAGGTTATAGACGATGACAATATACCGACAGTCAATTTTAGGAGTAATTTCTATTTAGTAATGACATATGCCTACTATAAACGCCAATAAGTCAGACCTAAGATGGTGTCTAGAAATAACAGCGATGAGTTGTCAGTTTATCGTTAAATAAAGTGTTACCTTTTGGTGGTGTTGTTCCTGACTATGAATACAGTTTCAGGGCTTCACAAAGAGTACCCTTAGTACGAGTTTGAGCTCACGAAAACTATCATAGTTTTCGTAATTGTAAATTATGTTTCTATGTTCATTATGGTGAAAAGTAACCAAATATACCTAAAATTTAAGAAGACGCAAATAATACAATGATATAATTTAAACACTGTTTATTTGTATTGAAACGAGAACAAAAAATCACTAACCTTAGTATTACTGCGAGCTCACGAAAACTATCATAGTTTTCGTAATTGTAAAACTCGTACTAAAAGTACAGGGTAGGATATGGCGCGAGTGATATTTTATTGTATCGGAGGCGCCTTTATGCTGTGGTGGCCACTTTCCATCAAGCGGGCCATATGCTTGTGTGCCACTCTTTTAACATTAAATCTCCTGTAAGTTTTTAAAGTTTTCTTATCAGTTGATAGGTAGGTATTTTATTTGCACAAGAAATTAGCAGCAAATGTATACATTTCTTTTAATCGTTTCCACAAATCCAGACCAACTGTGGAGATAAGGGATAGTAATAGGTACTTTTTTAATATCTATAGTCAAACACGCGTGCAATAAGTTGTGGTGTGAATAGGAAAATGCGAGAGCAAATTCAGAGAATTTGGTTACTCATTCAACTGCATTTAACTGATAATATTTGACATAATTAATTATGTATGTACTACAAGTGGGACGAAGAACCAATTAGGAACAGTAATTAGAGGATATTGTGTCAAGGTTGTGAACAGTGGACACGTACTTTTGTAAGTACTTGCTCGGGAACGAACAATTGTAGAATTGCCTCTCAGTTTAAAGAGTTCATAAAGTATATATTTTTATTTTAAGCATTTAATTGCTGATTCATGATCCTAAATAAATGCCGTATCTTCTCACAGTGGCTGCCCACTGAAGACCCCGTAACTCTTACGGGCGCTTTACGGTATAATATCCGCTAAAAACCCATGCGAATACTCTCTAAGCTGCTAAATGCGAAACCGCGGGACCCAACCAACAGCCTCCCGGGGAATTGCGGGGTACCCGCAGACGTGCGCAGGAAGGCCCGATCCCGTCTGAAACCTGGACTAAGTGGAATTTTTCTAGTAAATTTTTCTTAAGTTAAAAGTACTTTTTATTAAATTATTTGTTACAATGAATTATATCCAACCAAATTCATTCAATCCAGTCTTTTTGATTGTTTATTTTTTACTTTAATGCCTATGTTAATAGCTAACTCTATCTTTTTTAAATAATAAAAATTATTACAGTTTCCGTGACATCACTAAGCATGTACACGTGCGTTGCATATTCGATCCCTAAGCGGGTAGAAGTGCTATCTTTTTTCCATACAATCCTTCTCGACTGATTCCTCCTTGGTTTTGATCACTAGAGAAATGATTTTCACACATAAAATAAATTATTACTCATTCTATACATCTATGTCTTCCTTTTTTCAATAACTTTTGTGTTCAAAGCAAGTAGAAGCCCTCAAATATACGAAAATAAACAAATTTTTATCACCACTAAAGACGTCAATGTAGAGATTCAATAAACATTTACAAAAAAGCAAAATATAAAGGCCTAGCATAACTACTTATTATTCTCTGGGTTTTTTACATGTATCTAATTTTCAAGGAGATAATCGTCGAGAGCCAAACCTCGAATTTTGCAATTTTAATGCGCAATTTTCAGCGTTAGCTACTTTTGTCCCTCCCTATCGTACGGTATTTGCCAATGTCTCTCAGCTCGCGTCCGCTCTTAAACACACTCAAAACATTTGAATATCGAGAGCCGCGTCGCGACTGAAACCTCCTTTGCGGGCAAGTTTCTCGTTAACACAGATGGCCTGAAACGTTATCACTTGAAGCCTATAAATATATGAATGATGGTAGCGCCCCGTCATATGTTATCAGTGCCGGGCGAGTAAGTGATACATACTATACTACACAAGTTAATTGCCGCATTAGGCTGTGCGGTGTTGTATCGCGCTCATCTGCACCAAAAGCCTTCGGTTAGCGACAAGGATTTCGCAGTAAGTTTGTACCTACACTTCATCTTTGCGTACAAAGTGATTTTTATAATGAAGCGTTGTGAAAATAAAAATTGATATCTACTGAAAAATGTTAAACACTCGTCAAGGATAAGGATCGAAATGTAGAGTTGATGTAATTTTTTTATTGCCTGCTCTGTTAGGTTTGCTGTGTTAATGGGTTGGAATTAGTGTTCTTTTTTCATGTTTTCTTTGGTAACTAAAAATGTTGTTTCATTGAAAGATTTATCGCATTAATTTGATTTTTTAAGGAAATGTAGTATCCAATCATTATATTTTAAGTTTTACCTTCAAATACCGAACTGTTCCTTCCTCACCGGGTCGGTGCGGGCTCGTTTCGTTATCTTTTCTGTACCGAATCTGTTAAGATTCTTTACTGAGTGCATGTAATTCAATGATAGCTTCCTTGCGGATTCGCGGATACACAGCCGTCTGTATCGAGTGCTGTCGAACCATTCGACTCATCCGTCCCATCACTTCGCAAAAACAAAACAAAACATAACAAAACAAAACAAAACATTACTGCACCAAAACCGAGCCTGTCAAGGAGTGTTAAAGGATCTGTACAGATTCGATACAAAAATGGTATTTATTACACGACGCCATATGGTATACCGTGATCGCCCGCCTAACTACACAGTAACTGTCTCACTTAATGCAACGTTTCTACGTATAACTTAAACTCTTTCCTGATTTCCTCCAGCAAAGCCGAAGAAAAGTGTCCATGTGACATAAACAATGTATTTCCTCACTAGAAGCAGATAAAGATGAAAAATTCATTAGGCATCCGATATCAAATTATTTATCTTTCTTTCTTGCAGTTTAATTTAATTAACGGAAATGTTTAAATAAAGATACGATTTGCATAGAAAAAGTCTTTGCGACTTTAGGTAAGCTGTACAATATTAAAAGAAAAATTTGATCATGTACACGAGATTATATTTTTATCTAATTTTGATAAATATCACAGATATCCTAGATACTTAGGTATTTAGATTTTCCAAAAACACTCAATAGGTATAATTTTTGTAATTTTTTCGATCAGAACTGAATTTTTTACAACTCCATCCCACGAAATTCTATTTCGTCAGCAAAAATTTAACCGTTACAAACAAAGAGATTTAATAAGTGTTTTAGTATTTATTTTTTTATATTTTCGCGTCTACTGTTAAATTTACTCCAGTGAAGCATACAATATCATATTTAACGTAATCTCCCGTAGATAGCAATCATATTAAAGTAATTATTGATTACATCCGGTTTAATCTTTATTGGATGTTTATGACACATTGATAAAATGATAAACGAACTTGATACTTTACAAGAAATGGTAAACAAATAATCACGTTTGTTCCGCCGCTAATTTATTTTAAAATAGAAGAAAATGCCTGTTATAATATATTATATTAAGTTATTAGTTGTTTGTTTGTTGTTGTTTTGTTTTGTTATTTATATCACCTCAAACCTATAGTATGAACAGCAGTGCTATTCTGTAAGTGCCGCCGCACACGGGCCATCGACCACAACCACAAAACGCCGCCACGGGCATATTTCTTGTAGTTTTCATACATTTTATATGGACTCGCCACACACGGTATGCCGATGGCCGCCACACGCTACAAGTCGTCGTTGCTCGCTTCTTGTGGCCCGCACCGGCCATTTAATGCGCCGATACAAAACGCCGATACACGTCATTCGCGCGATTCCCCCCCCTCTATCCCTTACCTTAGTCGGCCGCTGTCCTGTCGCGCGCTTCAGCCACTTTACTAGCCGCTTCTAGCTTCTCGTGGCGGCGTTTGTGGCTGTGGTGTGGGGCCTGTGTGCGGCGACACTTAGAACAAACACTTTTCACCTCGTAATTCGTAGACTGATATATAATTAGAACACGGATTTCAAATAAATTTCAAATCACACCGGCGGATCCGGCGGTGAAAAGTGAGTTTGTTCATTCAGAATAGCTTATAACAGGAAATGATACAACTCGTAAAAAAGTTATTTCGTTAGGTATAATAACTTTTATTTCACATTCGAATGTGTTTATTGAAGATCGATACCAAGGAAAAACAAAATTAATAAAAAAATCTTTTCTGCAACAACCACGAAGACTGAAATCCGAATTTTGAACCCCCAAATGGAACGAATGTACAACTTTTCACGCAATCCAAGATAACTTATTTTGTTAAGTAGATTTAATGTGATAATAAAATAAATCTAAAGAAAAAAAGTACTAGAAAAATTCCATGCGGTCGTGCAGCAGACGGGATTCGAACCCGCACCTTCCGCTTTGCATAGAGATGGCGTTCGCACCTCGCCTAAAACATAATAGAAAAAATTCGACACGGCCATTAATAGCGCGCATGATTTGAAACGGGAATTTTGATGAAAGTACGGGATTTGTTTAGTATTTTTTTCTTCAAATGCTATAATAAACGAATATTTAATACAACTTTGAAAACTAAAAAACTAAAACTACAATAGAAAAATGGACACTGTACCCTTAGTACGAGTTTGAGCTCACGAAAACTATCATAGTTTTTATAATTATAACTTATGTTTCTATGTCCATTTTGGTGAAAAGTAACCAAATATACTTAAAATTTAAGAACACGCAAATGATTTAATGATTGAATTGAAACACTGTTTATTTGTATTGAAACGAAAACAATGAAATCAGTACCCTTAGTACGAGTGCGAGCTTACGAAAACTATCATAGTTTTCGTAATTGTAAAACTTGTACTAAGGGTACTGGTATATTCCCAAACAAAAAAAATATATTTAAGTTATAATTTTTATATTTAAAGCATGTAACTGTTTGTTTAAATTTTGTTTTTATGCATGTTTAAATCTAAAGAAAATATGACTAGAAAAAATTTCACGCGGACCAGGCAGCAGACGGGACTCGAACCCGCACCATCTCTTAGCATTGTAGGTAACCCACAATGTCAAATATATTTTATTTGAAAAATAAGAGAAAGTTAAAGACTGTAACATAAATGAACATTGATCTTCTAAACAAAGTGCTTTTCGTTTTCTTGCTAACTTATTACCTAGGTAGGTACCTAAAGATTTATAGGTAACTATGAATATCGTCAGTCACGAATTTGCCACTAAGGTAATAACAGAGTTTAGTATCGAGTTTACTCAAGTGGTCATGAAAGAACATAACATTCATAAATTATAATTGTTATGCTAATATCTAAGTAAACAACTTGAAACTTACGTTGTCGTTTATGGTTTGATGAATAGTTGTTTAGTATATAAAATGAGGCTCAACGACAATATTAGCATCGTCTTTGAACCATATTAAGCTTTATTGGAAAAAATAATTTAGATGGACCTATGGAAAGCTTGTGTGAATGTTTCCAAAATCTAGCGCTTTATTGCTTTGAAATTATGATTATATGATTGTAATTCGAAATCTTTACAAGTAACGAGGTTTAAGGTTTTTTTATCGAGTTTAAACCTGCAGGGGTGGTTAAATAAAAAATAGAAAATGTCTGATTGTTTGGATGCAAAGCGAAGCAGATTCGTAGCAATATATACTAGTAGATTAATTCCGTAGCATGTAGCAAAGTTCCTTTATCGAAGTCGTAGCCGCGTTTTTTTTCTCCCATAACAGGTTTAAAATCCTCATAGATACCAGGCCACTCAGAAGGTTTTGCGAAGAAAAGTTTTTATGTATAAGACACTGGCCACATGTAATTATTTGGAAAACTTCGATTTTTAAATTTCGATTTTTATTAAATTTTTCTTGTCTCATTAAAAAATGGATCTGCATTGAGAAAATTTTAAGGCTTAAAACCTGATGAATCATTTGATCGATTTCGAACTGCTTTTATGGATGAAGCATCTTCAAATGCAACCATCTACCGCAAGGGCGGATCCAGGGGGGGGGGGGTCATGGGGGTCATGACCCCCCCCCCTGGGCTGGGTACAGATGGACTAAAACTAGGGGGATTTTATTTAAGTACTTTCAATATTTAATATACCACGACTATATGACCCCCCCTGGCATCAAAGCTGGATCCGCCCTTGATCTACCGCTGGTTTAGCGAGTTCAAACGCGGTCGTCTTACTTTGGGGGATGAACAAAGGAGTGGTCCTCCTACGACGGCTGTCACCGAAGAAAGTGTGCTAGCAGTAAAAAAATTAATTCAAGAAACAGACGAATTACGTACAAAGAGATTCAGCATACTTTGCAGATTGGTTCAGGAAGTGTTCACAAGATTTTGCACGAGCACCTTTGCGTAAGGAGGATAGTTTCCCGCTGGGTGCCGCACAACCTCACCGAAGCTCAGAAGCAGGCCCGTGTGGATTGGTGCAGTGATATGATACAAAATTTTGATGCAGGCTCGTCACGGCGCGTTTACGATATTGTGACTGGTGACGAATCCTGGATTTATCAATACGATCCAGAAACAAAGCGTCAGTCGAGAGTTTGTCGGTTTCAAAATGAACCAACGCCTACGAAAGTGAAGCGATCGAGGAGCGCAGGGAAAATATTGATTGTTAATTTCTTCACTTTGACGGGGTACATATTTTCAATTCCACTTCGAGACCCAAGCAGCATCACCGCCGAATAGTATAGCACAAAATGCCCGCCAGAAGTTTTTTCTGCAATGAGCAACAAGCGACCTAACACCGGGCCCCGCGGGGTCCTTCTTCACCTCGACAATGCGCCCGCGCACTCTGCGATCAAAACGAAGGACTTCCTGGACTCCACGCCAGTCAGAGTCTTGGGACACCCTCCTTACAGTCCTGATTTGGCTCTGTGAGACTTCTTTTTGTTCCCTAAAATGAAAAATCAGCTCAAAAGGATACAGTTTTCTTCGCCGGAAGAAGCGCTAGCAGCGTTTGAGAAGGCTGTGGAAAAGGTGCCTGCGGAGGACTAAAAAAAAGTTTTGAAAATTGGTTCAGCCGCATGAAACTTTGTATAGAGGCTGGTAAAGAGTTCTTTGAAAAGATTTAATAAAAATATATTTTTCCAGTAGTTAGTTTTTTAGTTTCTCAAAACTTTCTGAGTGTCTCACGTACCTTTAGAGCCGGCTGCAGGGTTATGTCAGACTTTTATTGACTAAAACGCACCCGTGAGAGGTCGCCTATGGCCATAGGGGTCTTACAGACTTCATTTGATGCGATCATTTACTGAGAAGGGGACCCAAAAAATGTTGTGAAAGTGGCGTCTTTATATTCGGTTATCTTAATATGTCAGTATTACCTATTAACTTGTTTTTAAATGATAAGGAGTAGAATAGAAGACATGTAAGTAGGTAAGGTATGCGCTAGATACATACAACTAATTTATTTTGATGTACGCTATCAAAATTAGCAATTTTTAATTAAAATAACATTAATTTCTTTTCTTGGTTGTAGGTAAAGATTTTAACGATTGTTTATAATAATAATAACAATAGACTTTTATTTCAGACACAAGATCCATTCCTACAATTTACAAATTATTTCATAAATTCCAATCATAATTATATTAATATTATACAGGGCGTCCCACGGCGACCTCACACGGAGGGAAAGTATATTAAGCATTGAAGATAGGATATTTTACTGAAAGAAGACATCATTTTATTTTGAATAATAACTAGAACTGTATTCACAGGTTTTTTTAAAATCGTCTGCTACAACTGGGAATCAAACTCGTGAAATTTCGAAAAAAAAATACGACATTTTTTATGATAGCCATCGAAAGGGTTAATCATAAGGATTATTTTTTGCTAAATAACATAGCATTTAAATGAAAGAAAAGTAATTAAATTTAACATTTTTTTTTAAATTATTTAACACAAACTAATATAAAAGCAGATACGCCTCAATGTAAGTTAAAATGTTGAGTTCATCATCGTAGACGTTTATCATCCGCTGCTGTGGTTTCTGTAAGCGCATATCAAAACTCCCTAAATTTCTTGAAGTATCCATTAACCACATAAGGTAAACACATATCGAGAAGGTACGTCTCTATCAGGATATCTTTAGCGGTACTACCGCAAAGCTAATATGTCTTTGTGGTTCATAAAGTTATCTTCCATTAAATCCATTTTATTATGATACGTTATGGTAAGTAAATTAACAAAAAAAAAATGCAAATAAACGAAAATGAAACTCACAAAAACAAAAAGAAAGCTTGAAAATGTATGTGTTCCATTTTCGAATTATTATTTTTATAAATTTCAGTCAATCGCATTGTAACTGTGAATTCAAAAAGAAATGCATACGTACTACAGTTTGTATATCACTTTATAATTTTTATCACGTAATAAAACATTCCTTTCATTTAAAATGCTATGTTATTTAGCAAAAAATATTAACCCTTTCGATGGTTATCATAAAATATGTTGTAAAATATGTTGATTTTGATTACCAATTGTAGCATGCTATTCTTAAAAAATCTGTGAATGCAGTTCTAGTTATTATTAAAATAAAGTGATGTCTTCTTTCAGTAAAATACCCTATCTTCAATATTTAATATACTTTCCCTCCGTGTGAGGTAGCCGTGGGACGCCCTGTATATACACAGAAGTCAAATTACCACATTTACAAATACAAAAACAAAATACATTAGAGGTCAGTCGTATCATTATTCAGGATGCTAATTGCACTCATAGTTTATACATATTCGTATTGAAAATTCTCTTCGCCAGACCTGATATAATAGTGTTCCTACACTCCTCAACCCTGGACATAAATTTGACAATGCGGTTTCTTTGAATTAACCGAAGAAACCAGTTTATTCTAGCCTCGAAGTACATTTTTGAAGCGCTACAACAACGCTCCAACCCCATAAGTTGCCTAAATATAGGGTGAAATTTAATGTTTTAATGAAACTTCGTGAGATTGTTGTGTTACGTGTATAGAGAGTATGCCTGATTTTTTTCGGATTTTTTTGAAATATTTTTTTTCATGTATTTTTTTATAATTTGTGTATTTTTATGTCCTTTCCTCCTTTTGAGTAGTTTATTCATTTTAAACACTCATACTTACATATTCAGTGAAAAAAAAACTAATAAATAAGCACTAATATAGAAACTGAAAAACAGTAAAATTAAGCGGGTACGGCCACCGCGGGTCAACGACCGCGCCCGCCAGCCATTGAGCGAGTAGTTACACAGAGCTCAGCTGACGCGACACCTTTGATTCCACACAATACAATAAAATCGTCTTAGATGCCAAATTTATTGAAATAATAAGCACAAATGTCATCTTCTCTTAAGCAGAGAAAACCCTTAAAAGATAATAATCATTTTGTCGCGATTGGAAATAGGCAAATGTTAAGCCATAACAAATAGGTACTTATTGCAGTTAAATACTTGGGTCAGAATGAAATTTATAACCAGGTAATCAAAACTACTTACGAGACCCAATTTCGCCTTATAGTGAAAAAAATGAATAGGTACATCTATTTATTTTTTTCACTATAACTTCCTGTATACACTTTGTAAACAGAATCAATCACTAAACCTACTTTCGTAAAGCCTTGTGGCTCTGCTGAGTATTTCGTGACACTACAATGACAACACACCATATGCAACTTCTTATAATGAGGCCACAGAACAAGAACTAATCAAGGCATTATTTGCAAATCTTGTCTTGTCACAAATTTAATAGATACCTACGCACGCGCGGTGGATAGACTTGAGACTGCGCTCGCTCACTGCGCTTTGCACCGCGCATAGGTAGGTAGGAAGGTATTCAACGGCGCGGGAGCCGTCATTGCTCCCGGCCGCCAGTCTTCTGTTTTTACGTTTTTTTTAGTAGTGCTTAAAGTGCTTAATAGTTGTTTTTGACTGACTCTGTATGCGTGTTTAAAAAGAATAATTATTTATTACCCAAAAGGAGGAAAGGACTTAAAATATAACAAAAAAAAAACAAAATTTTATTTTAAATCATTTTTAAAAAATGCGAAAAAATTCAGAAATACTCTATATATATAACCCAACAATCCCACGAAGTTTCATACGTAGTTAGTACATTTTGTATACGTATAATGCTAATGCTATAACCAACAATTTTATGATTTTATTCGACAGCTTAGCAATCAAATTCAAATAGATAAAAACATGCAAAATAAAAATATTAACCAATACGTTATCATTCATTAGGTATGGTTAGGTATTTTAGTATTTTGTCTGAAAACGCGGCTGGACTCTAGTACACTTATGGTCCGTACTCTGCACATACGTTATTACTCGACAGTTTAACTCTAAGTGTCGCCGCACACGAGCCATACGCCACAGCCACAAACGCCGCCACGAGAAGCCAGAAGCGACTACTAAAGTGGCTGAAGCGCGCGACAGCGGCCAATTAAGGAGAGAGGGGTGGGGAATCGCGCGAGTATCGTGTGGCGGCGTTTTGTATCGGCGCATTAAGTGGCCGGTGCGGGCCACAAGAAGCGAGCAACGACGATTTGTAGCCTGTGATGGCCACCGGGGTACCGTGTATGGCGAGTTCATATAAAATGTATGAAAACTACAAGAAATATGCCGGTAGCGGCGTTTTGTGGTTTTGATCGGTGGCCCGTGTGCGGCGACACTAAAGCGAGTACAAATCAACGTGTGGATCGACAATTCGAAGGCTTGCTTGTAGAACGTGACGCGTTGATTTTTACTTTAGAGTACAACTATCGAGTAATGCCTTATGTGAATACGGACCATTAGAGGGGTTATTTGCTGCGGCTTGTTTCCAAAACCTTATAATGGGAATTTGAAACAAGTAATGATATTACATATACAATAGATTACAAGCTAGAAAACAAGGGAATTGTATGGACAATAAAACAAGGAGATGAGATCTGATTTGAAAAAATATTTTCGAGTTTTTAGTCCATTTATCGAGAAAGACTGTATGCTAATTGCTATATAATATAATAATAAGACCAAAAGAAGCGGACTATCGATAAAAAATGTTGCAAAAACGGGAAAAACATATTCCATTTGAGAGCTTCCGTTGCGTGCGCTACGTAAACGGTACAAAAAAATCCTGTATAACATTGCACACATTTTTTTGTTACCTAACCGTAATTTTTTCCCTTTAAAATAAAAAACAAAAAGTTGCGACAGCATAAATATGTCTATCTTTTATATGCGTCCCATTATAACTGTTATTTCTGACAAATTAATGCGGCTGAAACCGCGGGGCACCTCTAGTACTTATTTTATAAAAAAAATAAAACGACAGTTTTTAATTAAAATTAGAAAAATGTATTAACAATGACATTTTTCTAATTTTAATGTGCGATCAGATAAATAGAAAGAAAGACACTTTTCTAAGCCCACAATCTGCCATGTATACAAAATATATATTTTGTGAAATTTGAGTACTAACCCATATGATTACCAACGTATCACAAGTTTTCTTACGTTTTCAATAAAGTTTTGTCACTAGTTGTTTTTTTTTCAGAAATGTTTAAACGATATTTATCGTTACTCCTCCTGATTGTGGACTTCGTGTACTCACAGGATGCCAATTGTGATTTCTATCAGAGTGTAAGTTATTTTTCATGATAAAAAATAATTATGTTTATAAATTAAACTTAAATAAGAAGTTGAAACTATCAATGAATACCTAAGCAAAAGGAAAAACGGAACCCTTTTAAGATCACTTTGTTGTCCGTCCGTCTGTCAAGAGTCAAGACCGTTTTTCTCAGGAACGCGTGGAGGTATCAAATTGAAATTCATGTCTAATACTCATTTCTACTGTCCTGCTGTGAAAGAATCAAACTTCTAAAGCAATCAAAAGATACAGCCGTTTATGCCGCAAATTTTCGAAACTCGTACGGGAATCAAAACCTACAGGGAACTTCGCGTGAACTTAGGATCTTGAAATTTGGTACGAAGTAACGTCTTATAGTACAGATAAAGGAAAAAATGCGAAAAGCGTAAATTTTTAGTTACATCATATAATAAAAAATATTTTTGAAAATTTTAAAGTTACTACATCTTTTCTCGTGAACGCGTAAAGGTATTAAATTGAGTTTGTACGGACCCTCGGTGCGCGAGTCCGACTCGCAATTGGCTTTTTTTTAAGAGGGTGACGAACAAGCGTATGGTCCGCCTGATGGTAAGCGGCCACCATAGCTTATAGACGGTTGCGATACCAAAAATATCACTCGCAATACTGCTTACTCTGACCCAATTTCCTACTACGTGGAACCTTTGCGTGTTCCGTACGTTTCATCAGCCGTTTCTTCTGCAATCTCATCCTAACCTCTCTTAGAGCCTACAGTCTCCATGCACCAGTAACTAGCAAGAAAATATTCGTATCGTCATGTCTAAGTTTATATGGAAAAAGCTAGTTTGATCTTACGTCTGGTAAGGGCTATGCTTAGTTTCCATTGAAACTTTGGCGATGGCGACATGAATACACGGATCTGTCAAAGTTCGTGTATGGAGTACTGTTGTTTGCGATACCACAGTAACACTTGCACGTATTCACACAAATTGGTAAAAAAAAAGATTAATCTAACAATATTAACTTCCACAGGTGGCTGTTGGAGTTACCTACACCGTGAAGAGTCCAAATTATCCGTATTCGTACGGACGCGGGCAACAATGCCGCTGGATCGCGGACTGTCCCGTTGGCTATAACTGCCGATTGCAATGCACTGAAGTCAACATGCCACAGGTAAGCCGTAAGTAAAGGTTATTTTTGACAGGGATTCCTGTCTCCGACGTTCGTTCGTAAAATTAACTTATCTAGTATCCTTAAATATATGTAATTCTATATGTTACCCTAGTATCCCAGAATACAGGCCTTACGGTGCTTATTTTGGGGCTAAGCTAGTTGTTTAGCCAGATTTTTAATTTATTACTAGCTGATCCAGATTTAATTAATGTATGCCTGATCTTAAATATTTGCTGTTTAACAGTCAACCTCCTGCTCGATGGACCGACTTTTGGTGTCCAGGTCAGGAGATCTGCAGCTGAACAATGCCGACTACTACTGTGGTCAGGGACAGTTCACATCGCTCTCAATCGGAACTAGAATTAGTATGGGTAGGTCTATACTTATCCGAATCTGTTTTTTCGATGACGGGGAGAAAACAATACATTACATCCACGTAAAATGACCACCGCCGCGAAGTTTTCCTGTTACAAAACCCCCGCGATGCAGGTGATTGCGTGGTGCATTCGGCCAGCCTGCCTACTTTATCTGTATCATTGGATTAAAAATCCATGTTATGTGCATATAAAAGGCAACTGTTAGAGACGGAATACACGGGCCGCTTGACGCAATCGGATGGATTGCTTCAAGCTGCGACTGCATCATATTGAACTATAGGCTTATATGTGCAAAGTCGACTGCCGGGCGGTTGGTGTAAACAACAGAACACAGAAAGACGTTAGAAGGGCCTTGAAGGCGTGCTACGGTTATATGTGAGCAAATGCTCATAAATTGACTAAAACTTGGCTCTGATTGCAACGTCGCTCTCGGATGTGAACGCGGGTTGGTTTGATTGTTTGATGTCGCGTCCTTTGATTGGCTATTATCTATTTGGTAAAAGTGTAGTAGGGGCTAGCCGGCGCCAGTTCCCAAACAATTGGTGTATAATCAACCTTCTAACCTCATTCTGGGTTCTGTGAAATAACCAGCTCAAGCAGTCCGTGCATGTTGATCACTGGCTAACTGCTCAAGCAGTCCATCTATGGCCGTTCTTACTGACCCACTGATTAATCAACTTATAGCTCAAAGTTCGCCCTCTAAGAAGTCCATAATTTGTATCGAGAACAGACTTTATTATTTTAAAATATACAGTACAAGCACTTAATAATCAATACCAATTACGCCACCGTAACGTACGTGTTAATACTAATAAGTAACGTAGATAAACGATCGTTGAAAAATTATGAAGTAAATTTTATTTAACCATTGGTGTCGATTCTGGTACGATTCTCTAAATCTAACCTTAAATTTGACAACATTGTATACTTGTCATTCTCTATACAGCTTGAAAAGTAGAGACTGATGTTAAATTAAGTTTTAAGTTTAGAGAATCACGCCAGAATCGACACCAATGTCATGGTTGCTTGCTTTCATGGTTTATATTATTTTCAGGTCTCGTGGTATCTCAGAGCAGTACCGGAGGTCGTTTCAGTTGTACTCTGCAAGCTGTAAAGCAGCAAACATCAGGGACTTGCAGTTGTGGCTACAGGAAGCAGGTAAATAAATAAATAATATGCCTTTTAGGTTTTCGTAGTCCTGACAAGGAACCCTTATAAAATAGCAGGATAAAATTTTTTAGGGTAGCTCCCTTACATGGGGGACTATTATATTTTTCATCATCTACCCCATCGTGTGGCATATCGTTGAATAAGTCCTTAGGGTCTCCCCTCCCCTTCTAAATCTTAAATTTATCTTCTACGGTAAATAAAATTTAAAAAAAATAAATTTCGAAGGTAGCTCGACAAATTGAATTAAAGTTTTATTCTGACGACGTAGCCTGTAAAGGCTACGAAACGTCAATAAATAAATAAAATTTCGTGCATTAACCCGTAAAAACTAGTTTTATTTAATGAGTGATGTGCGTGAAAACCTAAGAAACAAATATATTATCTTCTACGGATTAATCACTTTAATCCATAAAAGATCTTATTAATGTTTCTAGTATTGAGAAATTGAAATTTAACTAAAAATAGTCTGGTTAGGTCTCATATTAGTCCATGATAGAAGTTTCATGAAATTGAAAATATAGTGAATCTGGCAAATATGACCTGTAAGCAGCTGAAATTAGAAATGAAAATCTGGTAAAAATGTCGTGTTAGCGGTTAAGCAGCTAAGTTGAAACTAAAAATAAAAGGAGTTAATTAATATAGTACACTGTGTTCAGCACATAAGTTAGTAAATATCGTAATAACCTTGCATAATGGCTCAAATTCGGAGCAAAAGTTGCACTGGTTAACATCACGTGTTAACTCGGGCAAAAAAATTCGTTAGTCAATGTTATTAATTATTTCGTCATCTTTTAATCACTTCAATATTTGATCTTCATTTAACCATAATAAAGTTCAAGTAATAATATAGTCACTTTTAACTACGTTTAGACATTATTCTGAAAAATAAATCATTTGTAGAACTGATCTCGATCATTTGTAGAACTGATTTTTGCGTGGTCAAGAGAGGGGATACCTTCCCCTTTTTTTACTACGCTCTAAACTGTGTGCGGACTGGCTGATCGTACTGAGGGTACTAAATAGTTAAGAAAAATAAAACTTGGATGCGATAACAGGATAATAGTTGATACATAGATTGATATTAATTGGCAATTCTAATTTCCGATATATAAAAATAAAGACTCCAGTACCCCTAGCACGAACCATTATCGAATTCGAATAGTTGGCAAACCGAAATGTCAATGTAAAATTTTGTGTGGAAACATGAACAGCAGCGGCACAAAGTACGTAACGAGAAATAAAAATCATAATACACATTTGACAATGACATTTCAGACCCGCAAATGATACGAATTCGAAATTGGTTCGTGCCAGGGGTACTGCTCAAATTGTATTGTGGTAACTACACGCACTTGGCCGTTTTTTTCTCATGTTTACACGCACACTAATCCATACTACCTGTATAGGTTATATTATAAAATAAAAGGACGAAGGATAGTTTTCATCATCAGTTAAGAACGTAGGGGGTGAAAAGAGGGGTGAAAGTTTGCTTGGGACACCAATGATACTAAAATGAAAAATCGTTAGCCGCTTTCGCGTACTAAAGGCGTTAGACATTTCTTCAATGAAACTGATCCATCAATCAGCTGCGAGCACTCCACTCTCATAAATGGCCATGCGTGACTAACAAACAAAGCGACATATTATTATATTTCAATTATTGTATTTAAGCATTTAACTGCTAGATTTATAAATGTAAAGAAAGTTTTATTAGAAAAAAATCCATGCTGTCCAGGCCTCAGCCACCCCGCTTGGGCGGATTTTTTCTTGTAAAATAATCTTTAGTTTTTTATAACGACAAATGTTGAAACAATTTTTCTAGGTACATTATATGTTTGTTGACAAGTCTAACTATTTATTTAACGACGACTGAATACTGTATGCGTAATCATACTGCTTATAATTTACGAATTGTTTGAATGTCAATTTTGTATTGTTATGTAAATTATTAATTAATATAGCGTACACTTGGGTAAATTGAATTTAAATAATGTTATAGTGTTAATAATGTTATGTATTATCGGTTTAGGCAATTTTTTAATTGTTTTTCAAAGTTTAAAGTACATTTTTAAAACTGACGAAATAGTAACTTACTTGCGTTTGTAACATTGAACAATGGGATTTTTGTTTCGTACAATTAAAACAGCTGTCAGTTGTAGATACGCAAAATAACTTATTATATTTTTAATACTTTTTATAGAAAGTCAAATGACTCACACAAATACTTTGTTGTTGATTAATTCCGGACGCAATAGTCGCACTTCAACAAAGTCTCATTTTTCATTTAGGATGATAATCAGAAATAAAGTTACAGAGATATGACAGCCAATCACGACGAGGTTAGCATGAGCCAATATCGAATTCAAATAGTTGAATTCGATCTCGATACTCGTCAAATATCAAGAAGTTTTGTATGGAAGATTTTTATTTCTCGTTAAATTCGTTGTGGCCAGTGATGCCAGGTCAGATTAGCGCGTTCAGTCATTGGATGGGTGAACAAGGTTATCGCGAGTTCGTCCGTGCTTCGCAAAGCACGTTAAGCCGTTGGTCCCGTCTGCATTTGCAGTTGCTAGCACCCACCACTGGGCCTGCGTGGTGGGTCCTTGCCCAATCTCCCTATTCCATCTATAGGGAAGGCCTTTACCCCAGCAGAAGGGACATTAATATGATGATGAGAATAGAATTGTGTGTAACGATTTCTTCAGAACCGAATCGTGGGCGGCGTAGAGACCGGTGTGAACGAGTACCCCATGATGGCAGCCCTGCTGGACCAGCGGACTGACGAGATCAAGTGCGGCGCCGTCATCATCGACAAGCGCTACGTTCTCACCGCCGCGCATTGCCTCGAGCAACTGGTTCCGAGCAAGCTGCTCGTAATTGTTGGGCAACACTACGTGACTGATGAAGGTACGTAATGATAGTCCTAGTTACTCAATGCGTTAACAGTAGAAGTATTTTTTTTAGTTTAAGTTTTATTGAACTTGCTGTTTCCCGCTATGTTTGGAATCTCCGACACCACCTAGGTTGGCTGGAAGAGATCTCTTTTAGAGATAAGCCCACCTTTACTTATTATGTATTTGACTTTGTTTTGAACTATTTGATGCAATAAAGAGTATAATATAACTAAATGCGTTGAAATTAGCTTTCGAAATTGAATTAGTTTTGTCGTATGTAATGATTTCGTGAGCTGCGTGTCTATAGCGCTAGACGATAACTGGCGATAAATTTGACACGCTAAAAGAGGTTATTAAAAATAAGTGGGAAACGATAACTTTGCATTAGCAGCTAAAGAAGCGTGCTTGATTCAAAGTTCGAACGCAAATGTTAGCGCATTTTAGAACCAAGCATTAGATTAAATCTTTTAATCTAAGATGTTTTCGCACATATGAAGGGCTGATGCTTCACCCACACCCGAAGCTTCGGGTGTGCTGGCAGTTTCTTTTTCGACTAATTCTTTAAATCAGGGAAGATTTAGAACTAATCCGTCCGTTAAGAGTTTTGTGCATGATTAGATTATCGTCTGGACCACCATATATATACACTAGCTGACTCAGCGAACTTCGTACCGCCATAAAAGTAGGGGCTGGTGGTCGATGGGTGAAAATTTAGGGCTGTATATTTTTTTTAATGACGAACCGAAAAAAATATCTCCATAATTAAAACGTTAGAGGTGGACTACCCCTTCACTTAGGCGTATGAAAAATAAATACTAGCCGATTCTCAGACCTTCAGACCTACTGAATATGCATATGCATGCATAATTTCCTAAAAATCGGCCAAGTCGAGGTTTCATATATGTATGACTAGCAGACTCAGTAAACTTCGTACCGCCATAAAAATAGGGGCTGGTGGTAGAAGGGTGAAAATTTATATAAAATATATATAAACAGGGCTGTATGTTGTTTTAATGAAGAGCCGCAATAAAAATCAAATTTGTCCAAAAATAAAAATACAATGTTAGTGGTGGACTACCCATATCACTAAGGCGTATGAAAAACAGATACTAGCCGATTCTCTGACCACTGAATATGCATAATTTCATAAAAAGGTTTCGGAGGAGTATGTTAACTAACATTGTGACACGAGAATTTTATATATAAGATGATTTTCTTTCACTTACAGACTAATGAGAATTATTAATTTTAGCTAACATCCCGGCTTCTGATAAGTACGGTATATCGCAGTTTATTATGCATCCGCAGTACTCGAGGTAAGTTGTTTTTACTTGTTTACTATTTTTCTTCTTGATATATTTTTTCTTATTAAAGGTTCTTAAACAGTTCCGTTCAGTTGTATTGAAAACGATCACAAACCAGTCTCTTGAAATATTATCATTAACCGATATCATATGAAACATATCACAATACGAAATAAAATCAAATATCTATCATAGACTACTGAATCAAAGTTTGGGGTACAGATTTGAGACCAACCAACCTGGAAAAAAATCAAGTAGCACAAGATAAATTGATCAAATCCATCATCCACTCAGCGCAAAAGGCGTTGATATGATATCAGTTCGACTACAGTTTTCGTGGCGTAAACACGTGAACATGTTTTTTCGTACCACTTGCTCAAAAAAGTGACATTCTATGCCACAAAAAGTGAACATAACAATAGTCATTTTTAACCTGTTAAAAACAGGGAAAGAAAATTGTACTGAATTTCATTCATCCTCTAGAGGGAGAATGTGATTTAAATTTCGAATACTTACCGAAATTTATACTGAACTACATCTGTGTTTACACCATTGAGTTTGTATATAAGATTGAGAGTTTGTATTGTGCAGATAAGATTATTAAATAAAATTACGAAAACCGACGAGGCCGTATTTAATAGAACCAATGTTTCAAATGTTAACTTTTACTTTTAATTGTCATTATTTTTATTCAATGCTTATCTCATATTATTATTGTGTTAATTTTTTCGCAAATGGTACGAAAATTAGAGTATTTTCCTCGGTGATAAAGCTGTCTTAGTCTTGGGTGAACTTAAATCCCTCGCTACACTCAGGACTCGTCTTAAATCCCTAGCTTCGCTCGTGATTTGAGTTTTTAACACCCTCGCTACGCTCGGGAGTAAACCGAGAGTCCTTCGTTACGCTCGCGATTTAAATCGTCACCCGCGACAGAAGACGCTGCTTTATCCCCTTGGTTAATAATCTACTATTTTTTGTGTCCTGTGATTCTTGCCCGGTTCCTGGGACAAATTAATTACCTTTAATAAAACAGAATAAAAAATAATTGCTTAAATGAGAATATATATAATCATTTTTACTGTATTAATACTAAGACAGTACAAATGAGCAAGCAGCTCTAGCGTCAAATAGACATACTACATATCCAATGTTTCCACAATCAGGTTTTAATTTTACCCTAGATCGTTTTGAAAATTGCCCTAAACCCCTAACTAATTTCGGAAAATCCTCAATTTAGCGCGTGATTATCACTAATCACTTATCGCAGTTATGCTACGTCCACACTACTGCACTATCACGAACATTTGCCATTTTCACGTCGTGACATGACGTGACCTGCCATCCGCCTGGAATACCTCTAGCTAGAGGCACTCGCTAATTCTCGACTTGAGGTCCCCTTAGCATTTCGCTGTCCCCAAACCCGGTGACGCTGTAAAAGTAATCTGCGACCAACAGCATACACACTAAAAAAAAGGAAATTGGCTCGTATTGTTCTCTTGGTCCTCAAATCTGAAACCGAAAAAAAAATGTTTCATGCTTGTATGGAGCACACGTTTGGAGCAGTAACAGTAACTTCTACTTTACTCACCTTTTTACATAAAGATCGAAAATTTCATGCGTGCGACAACGAGACTGAGAAATATACTTTAAATCTTTATAATAAAATTAGATAGTAATTATGTTTTTTCCACAGCTCTAACTACAACAACGATATGGGATTAGTGCAGTTAAATAGAGACATCACGTTCAACGATAGAGTGGGACCAGTCTGCTTACCCTTCAAGTTTACCAATACAGACATGACTGGGGCGAAACTGACTATTCTTGGTAAGAATATTCCATGTTTTTTTTAACATAATGTACAGGTGCTAAGGTGTTCCTCATACCTCCAATGATGCAACCATTGACTTTTCAATGATTACATCACCAAACCCGACCGGCATTCACGACTTGTGAAGAAGTGTTGTGTTTCTGTCGATGAGTAAGGTTCCAGAGGCAGAGGATTAGGATATGGTAGGCAGCGATGCGGTGATAGCTTTGGTATCGCAAGTGTCTTTAGAGTATGGTGGCCACTTACCATCACTTAAAAAGTAAAAAGTGATGTCAGAACGTCTTGCTAAAGCGTAGCTGTGTATACCAACATTTCTGACTATCCTTTCAAAAATAGACATCCTAACGTGGTCTAGTCTGGCTATTTTTCAGTCAGATACTTAGGTCCACAGGCACAAGAGGCTTCTGAGTTCTGTGCTTGGATCTCATAGACATCAATTGAAGCTGATCCAAGGAAACTGAGGAAGACTAGCGCCGTTGTGTAGCCTCAAACGAACAGACTTGGATTACGATTTTGTATAGGAAAAACAAAATTCCCAATTAATTAAATAAAAAGGTACTTTTTACCAATATTAATTTACTAAATTGCCACCTTTTCTTTATTCGAATAGCTGCTGAATTGAGTACCTACTTAGATAAAAAAGATATGGAAAAGTTTTCTGTTGTTAGGCAACGCGTATTCGGAACCGAAAATATATTAAGGTATATTATATTTTTGTTTAAGCATTTAGCTGCTAGATTTATAATTCTAAAGAAAAAAACATAAAAAGAAAATATCTTTAGATTTATACATTACGGTATATAATAGAGTTTTATATAGGCCTTACTAACAAGTTTATGATGGTGACACTCGATGGATTTTATCTATTTCAGGTTGGGGGACTCTGTACTTCGGTGGACCCAAGGCGAACGCATTGAGGAAGGTGGATGTGGATGTGATCAGCCAAAACACTTGCCGTAACACCGTACCCACACTGACCAGCAGACAAATCTGCACCTTTACTCCAGGAAAGGATTCTTGTCAGGTAACTCATGCAGAATTGCTTCTATTGTATATCTATGATTCACGCGAAGAGCTCCATGGCGCAATGGTAAGTGCTTTAGGAATCGTGGAAGTGAAGCAACTTACATAGCGGCCCGGAGGGTGATCAAAAATTTACTAATCGCTCGTTCTCGTCCGCGCGTCTGATAGTAGTGGTTGGTCCTGGCATCTGCATCATAAGCACCCACTACTCCGTAGCTCGCGTAATGGATCGTGGTCCAATCTCCCTATTCCATACAGAAAGCGATGCTTTCTTTCTTTTTAAAGAGTGTTTAATTTCATGCGAGTGTCGCTCAGTTCATCCATTGTCATCCCTATATCAATGAAATGAAATGAAATGAAATGTCATTTATTCAGTCTAGGCTGTTACAAGCACTTGTGAAGGTCAAGAAGCTACGCCATAAGGCTGATGTCACGGACTATTGCAATTTGCTCGAATTTACCCCGGGTAAACACGTGTTCCTTCCTTCCTACAATCAGAGCTCTTTTAAAAGAACCAGGCATGAAGAAGCATTGTGCACGCCTCAAATTAGACTCCATCACAATGTATACGAAGGACGCCACGAGACGTTACTTCGATAAAGCCGCGCATCATTCTTTCATCCTTTAGTAGTCAAAGCCTCTAGTTATCACACGTCCGCCCTCCCGTACTCCAATCGTATGTCCCTCCTATTCCGTCGGCCTAGGCACGTCTTATAGTTCCCCGGTTCAACACTAAACAGCTAATACTTGCACACTAGCTTAGCATTAGGCGGACACCGCACCCGTAGGATAATAGTGCGAAGACCCACTCTACACACGACACGCTATACCAGGTACAGGTACGTACCTGGGCGTTTTTCCCCGCCCCACACGACAACGGCCAACTAGAGCCCAAGTCCAAGTCTCAGAGACGCCCTCTAGTTGAGCCAACCCCCTCAGGTTCGGGTGGTCTAGAGACTCCAGGCGGAGAGGATCTCCCCCCGTGGGGAGATATCATACGCCTGGAATACCTCGAGAGGCACTCCCCATTTCTCGGCTTGAGATCCCCTAAAGATCTCGCCGTCCCCAAACCCGGTGTCACTGTAAAGGTCATCTGCAACCAACAGCGTACTCACTAAAAAAAAAATGGGTGCGTGTACTTATGTAGGCGCGTGAGAAGTTATCCTTCTTTGGCATCGTTTAAAATTAGTTTTTAATTGCATGCAAATAATTAATTACAATAAATTAATAAAAAGTCTGGAAAAGGACACAGTCAATAAAGTTCAGTTTTAATTTGAAAAAATAAATAAATAATCAAAATATTCAATTAAAATCGCTACTGAATATAATTTATTAGAACATATGTGATTTGCACTTGTATGAAACTCAAACACGTATTCCGAATATACAAACTAGAAACATGTGGATAAATATTATAAATATGAATACCTATAACTGTTACTTAATTACAAAAAATAAAGATGTGGTTTTTGGTTCTACTACACCAATGGTCAAGAGATGGCGCTGTAGTCTCCTGAATCGCGCTTTGGTTCCGTTGTTCCAGATTAATAAATACTTTTGATAGGCCTTCACAATGCAGTCGTTAGCACCCACTAAATAGAGATTCTATTTCTATTTTGTTGGTAGATTTTCTTAATGTGCGGTAAACACAAAAGTAGCATGAAGTTGGTCGCCAAAGCGCTTTGGCGACCAACTTCATGCTGTTAAAATTTTGTGTTACAGTGATGCGCGCGCATCTTAAAATTTCACTCTCATCATTTTTTCATAACGCGCCTAAAGAAGTATAACTCCAAAAATGTGCAAGTCCACAAGGTGAGGATGGTTGGAGTGGCAGTTCATACCTGTTGGACCAGCTATCTTCGCGTCTGGACTTTACCACCACTTTATTTTATTTTTTAACATTAGGTAGGGTAGAGTGATTTGCCTACTTTACTATAAAAAAAAGTTTAAATATATTTTGACTAGGTGTATTTTTTATTTAATGCATAAATCGGCTCGATTTATAAAATTTTAGATAAGAAATGTATTTCAATATTATTAATCATCATCATCATCATCAGCCTATTAATGTCCCCACTGCTGGGGCACAGGCCATCCCTATGGATGGAATAGGGAGATTGGGCCATGACCCACCACGCGGGCCCAGTGCGGGTTGGTGGGTGCTAATGCTAACGACTGCAGATGCAGCCGGGACCAACGGCTTAACGTGCCTTCCGAAGCACGGAGGAGGTCGAGATAGTAAATTTTCGGTCACCCATCCAATGACCGACCACTGCGAATGTTGCTTAAATTCAACGATCGCAGCGGAACGCGCTAACTACTTGCACCATCGAGCTCCTCCATTATTACTTACGCATATTTATTTATTATTGTTTACAGAATTTTATTAAGGAGTATTGCTAATTGAATCGATACTTAATTGAATGATGTTCATATATTCGATGTAGGACTAGGGAGTCACAATACCAGCTTTGTATCGTACCTAGCCTCGCGCTTTCTACGGACAGTTGTTCAATATCAGCAATTTGCCTATCAAGGCAAAAACATTGCTAAGCTTCTGCCTATTTGCATCACTGTCACTCACTAATGACTGTAGTTCAGACTAGTTATTTAAGAATTAAATAAAATTAGTTTTAACGGGTTAATGCACGAACTTTATGTATTTATTGACGTTTCGCAGGCTTTTCAGGTCTGCATCGTCAGAATATATATCTATACTTATAATAAATCTGTAGAGATGTCAATTCTGTACATGAAATATATTTTTAAAATAACTATCAGGGGGTGATTAGTGATCGATACTGATGACAAAAATGCAATCAGTAAAATTTTTGTCTGTCTGTCTGTCTGTCTGTCTGTGTGTATGTTCCTTATAGAAACAAAAACTACTCAACGGATTTTAACGAAACTTGGTACAATTATTCTTCATACTCCTGGGCAGGTTATAGTATACTTTTCATCACGCTACAATCAATAGGAGCAGAGTAGTGAAGGAAAATGTTGGGAAAACGGGAGAAGTTATTCCATTTTTTAAGCTTCCGTCGCGTGTGCAGCCGTAATGGTTAAAGTTACATAGAAATCATGTATGACGGAAATATTCTACATAAAATTATCTAAAAAATATCCCGCAACAGCATATGTCTATCTTTTATGGTTGACTCACAATAACACGTGTAACTCCCGATAGCTTAGCAGTTCGGAGCATTCTGATCATATTTGTTTACTCTTAAGTTTATAATACTCTGACTCATCGCTTATTTAAAAAAGTTAACATTATTACATATTCAATAAAAAAAAACATAGAAATCGGTACAGAAACACCAAACTTATACATGAAATAAGCCATCGCGCCGTCGCACGTGAACACTGAATCATGTTATATGGATTATTTTTGTGTAACGGTTGCCGCGCTCGACACGGGTCGCGGCGGCGGTAGGGTATCAAAAGGCGGGAGGTCCGAGAGCGAGCTGTCTAAATCTGTTTTCTGCGTCGCTCCCCCCCCCCCCCCCCCTGGAGGACGATCGCTTCCGATGAAGCCTTAGAGGTCTTCCCGGCCAGAGGCAGCCCCTACGGGTGTTTTTTAGTCAGTACGAGTCTGAAATAACCTTGCAGCCGGCTGTAGGGTATCCATGAGGATTTCTCACCTGCTCCTTACCAGGCAGGGCTAAGGTCCCCGTGGTATTACCGGTACAGCAGGTACCACAGGGAACCCGAGCTGATGAGGTTAGGGCTTGCCTGAAAAGCTCTTATTTGTGGCGTGATATACAATCGGTGCATTTGACTATAAACATGCGAGTGAGAACTGTAGATAACCCGGATGATCGTGAATTTTCTGATATATTATTAAAGAAAATGCCTTCACCAAAGATACCTATCCACTGCTACACCAAGGAAAACTTATTCTGACGCCTGAGTTATGTTGTATAGTGCAATCCCAACAACATCTTATATCGTCAGTTTACGGTGACGTAACAAATATATTAAATAAGGACAATTCTTGGATATGCGAAAGGTCCATTTTAACTCCTCGCAATGACCAGGCATCTGAGATTAATAATAAAATACTGTCGAATATCCAGGGGGAAAGCAAAGTTTATAGTTCAATAAATAGAATGGCCGATGAACAAGAAGCCACTAATTACCCGATAGAATTTTAAAATTCTTTAAATATGCCCGGACTTCCTTCTCATGAAATTTGTTTAAAAATTGGCATTCCGATTATTCTGCTCCGAAATTTAAGACCACCATAACTTTGCAATGGAACTCGGCTTAAAGTAACCCAGTTGCAAGAAAATGTAATCGAGGCTCAAATTTTAACAGGTTGCGGTGCAAGAGAAACCATCTTTATTCCCAGAATTCCCATAATACCAAATAATTTTCCATTCCAATTTAAAAGAACGCAATTCCCAGTATCGGTGTGTTATGCAATGACAATAAATAATGCTCAAGGGCAGACTTTTCGTGTTGCTGAAGTAGATCTCGGTATCAGTTGTTTTTCACATGGTCAGTTATATGTCGCTCTTTCCCGGGTTAGCAGTTCTAGAAATCTTTATGTTCACGTGCCGGACGGGTCAACTTTCAACGTAGTTTACCCGGAAGCTTTGCGCTGAAGTATTTTCCTTCTATATATACTTAAGCCTCATGTGAAAGTGATCTAACCAATATTACCAATACATTAACATAATAACATACAAGATGATGATGATGGTCTCGGGGCACAGTGATAATAATAATATTCTGCGGTTCCTTATTGTGATATTTTTAACAGTACTGTGGATTGTCAAAATATATATTCCTACTTTAATACGAAAGTTAATCTGTCTGTCACATCAAAACCACGGATCCCTGAGGAAGGACATATGCTACTTTTTTACGAAAAACGACGAAAACGTGGACAAAGTCGCGGGCAAAAGCTAGTATTGAATATATTGCGAAACGTCAATAAATAAATAAAGTTCGTGCATTAACCCGTTTAAACTAGTTTTATTAAATGAGTGATGTGACATTTCTTTGTCGCACTATTCGTAAATGAAATGCTTTGCCTGCTCACGTGTTCCCTCCTTCTTACAACCTGGGATCCTTTAAAAGAGGCGTGAAGAAGCAACATGCAGGCCGGCAAGGTGAGGATGGCTGGTGCGGCAAGTAGAACTGCTGTACCAGCTATCTTCCCGTCTGGGCTTCACCATCACTTGACATCGGGTGAGGCGGAGTCATTTGCCGGACCTATCTATAAAAAAAAATGTCTTTAAAAATTTATTTCTTTCGGTCATCAGGACGATTCCGGCGGCCCGCTGCTGTACACAGACAGCGCAACGGGCTTATTGTTCAACATCGGCATCGTCAGCTCCGGCCAGTTCTGCGCCACCAACGGCCAGCCCGGCGTCAACACGCGCGTGCCCGCGCTGCTCGACTGGATCCAAAGCAACACGCCCGGCGCTAATTACTGTATTAAATAAGTTCTTATAAACTATTTAGTGTGTTTTATTTCATCTTCTACCCTACTCTTACTGCAATTTATACCCGTTATAAATTCCATCTTCGGAAGAATACTACTGTCACAAACGCTCTCGAAACGTAACCGCGAAAGTGCTAGAGATCGAATTTGCCAGATCACCGCAGGTCGCGATAGAGGTCGAGTAATGCGGCTCATTCTAAAATGAGCCTTTTGCAGTGGGGCGTAAGGGAGAAAGTGCAACGACATCTGCACTTGTTTACAAGTTATGCGCGTTACCTGCGTAGGTATAATAGTACAGTCAATCTGTAGGTTGAGTGGTGAAAAAAAATAAAACTAGTTTTTACGGGTTAATGCACGAAACTTTATTTATTTATTGACGTTTCGTAGCCTTTACAGGCTACGTCGTCAGAATAAAACTTTTATTTAATTTGTCGAGCTACCTTCGAAAGACTTTTATTGAGCGTTTGGTTATTTCATTGTTCGATTTTTAAGTTTTATTGTCTATGTATGAATTTATTATTTAATTTACTTAATAAAGTATTTTATTTAAAATTCTTGTTTGTAATTTTGAGTTTATTTATTTGACCCTAACTACGTAAACTACCACCGGTTCCAAAATTGGGAGACCTTCCTGAGAAGAACCGGCGAAACAAACTCAAGAGAGGCTTTCTATCTCCTTCTTATGTTAAATTATGCAAACAAAAAGAACTAATAGTATCTGATGGTCTTGCAGTGTGTGCTCGGGGTTGGGATTTTATCTCCTGTATAATAGGTTCCCAAGCTGGTGGTATATACCAACCATCTTCCCTATTAAAATCGCTTTTGGGCAGTTCAAGTACACATTTGCAGTGCACATTTCAAAGTACGCTTTTACTATTTTTTTTTTCAATCAGGAAAAAAAATAAAAATAAATCTATATTTTTTTTTGTTTTTCAATCATGAAAAAAATAAAAAATAGTAAAACGTACATTGAAATGTGCACTGCAAATGTGTACTTGAACTGCCCAAAACCGCTCTATTGGATTATTCATACCTGAGCAATTTATAACTTGAAAACGGTAAGTAATACAAAAAAAATGTTTATACATAAGTTGGTGGTAATTATGTACGCAACAACTTTGCCATTTAAAGTTTTCCATTAAAATGATATTTTCAGGGTGAAAAAGTGAAAAAACACTTTTTTTGAGACTTTAGCGCCACCTACAATGCGCATTTTTTGTTGTACGAGATTGCAAAAATGATATAAATTGTAGCACTCAACGCACTCTACAATTATGGTCGAAAAAAAAGTTTCTAAAATGCATACAAAACAAGAAAAATGCGTTTCAAAAAATTTTTGACGGTTTTTTGAGTTTTTCCAAAAACACCTACGAGTTGAACATGCCCATCGCCAAGGTGGCTTACTGACGTCATTTGACAACAGAAAAAACAAGACTTACCCTTTAGGTATTTTTTCACTGAAACGATATTTTTTTCGACAGATTGACTGTACTATAAGTAGGTACTTCAAACTCGCGGGTGCTAGCTAATTCTCAATTTAACAGGTACTTTCTAGAATGCGCGATTGGCGCCGCGCAAAGGAAGTTCAGTTTCAACAGCGATTTCGGAGCGAATCCAAAGGCGATCAAAGTGCAACAAAAGTGTTCAAGTGCGATTGTTTAGAGACTTGTATAGTGAAATACAGTGTTTAGTGAGTGTTTTGTAATTAACATTGTGTGTTAATTGTGTGAACTGTGTGGTGAATAAAGAACTGTCAAGTGTGTACTGGCATATAATTTCGAACCCCATCCCGACACGTAACACTACCAATATTCTTCCTTAATGGATCGTCTTTCTTTCTTCAAGTCTTTGTCTTTCTTCATTAAATTATGAACAATCTCATTAACTCCCCATTCCTTTTAGATAGCATTGGTTTAAGATGCCCTCGGGCAGGCTCCCGTCTAAAAAGTTTATTTAGTTTGCCTATAGTTAGCACAAAATATACTGCGACTTTTGTGATAAGGTCTTGTACTGAATATAACAATAATTTTAACATAATAATTATTAATATCCTTCAAACATTATAAATCTGAAAGTTTATAATAATATGTTTGTAAGATACTCATCACGCAAGTGACTCAACGGATTTGGATGAAATTTGGCACGCATATAGTTTAAATTTATTAATAGTTTTTTATGATACAAGTAGAGAAAGTAGGTTATTACTAATAAGTACAACATAGTGAAAACACGAGTGCAGTAAGAGAACTATGAAATGAGAGAGTGGGAGTGAACTCCAAACTTGGTATTTTTACTTAATACCAGAAATAAAGTATAACGTCTATCAGGACTTTTCGAAAAACTACCCCTAAGAGTAGAAAAATCTTATTCTTTGAGTTAAGAAGACTTAAACTTGGTACAAATACTTATCTAAATAAATTACAAAGTTGGTCATTTTTGGTTTGTCTTAACTACTAGGCCTCATCATCGCTTTCCATCAGGTGAGATTGTGGTCAAACGTATTGCCTATTTTACATAAAAAAAATTACCCCTAAAGGGGGGGATTATAGGATGCCCAAGTTTTTATATAGATGAATTTTAACGCGCAAATATAATGAATTTTAATGTCTGTCGATATTGCAATAAGGAATTTATTCATTTATTCATGTCATGTATCAGGGTTCTTTGAAATTACCCCTAACGGGGTGAAAAGGGATAGTAAATTTTACTAGGGGTATTTACTGCAGGGTTTGATTTAATCGGAAAAGGGCTGGCACACATATAGTTGATTTTGTGGATTGAGACAAACAATAATTTTTCTCCCGAAAAACGTTAGATTACCGAGGGTTTCTCAAAAAACTGAAAGTTAATGAGGGTGAATTTCATCAAATTCGGACTTTACTAAAACTTTGAAGTAAAAAAATGATTTGCATTGTACAAAGTACGATTTGCTAACCAAAATAAAGTAATAAGAAAGTGCTATCTTTCAAAAAGTATTTAGAAACTATGTATCTTGTGTCTGTTATCTAAATACTTGACTACCAAGTATCTTGTATTTTAGATCATCATTGAGGAATAATACGCCTATGGTTTGATTTAACCCTTATGTTTTCATATTAGTTTCCTACTAGTGGAACACCCTCGCTTCACTTCGGTGTGCAGCTGTAGTGTACACTATATTTTTTGTTCTCAGGCTTGTATTATGCACCAAGACTTTCTTCATATAATTATAAACCTTCCATGAAAATTTATTCTACTTTATAGTGAAAATTTTGTTGCGTACCCGTTGCACCAAATGCACCATTGCTCAGCTGTTAAAAAAAGTTTTGTGAATCATTGGTCAATGCCCTTATTTATTAAATGTATCTAGTGACGTATGAATTTATACACATCCATCACTTTTATCACTCTTAATTATTGCACTCATGATAACTATTGAATGGTATGAAACTTAAGAATGGTGTACTCCTGCAACTAATTTCAAAATTTTTATTCTAGATGGTGTCGATTCTGGCATGATACTCTAAACTTAAAAACTACTTAAATTAATTTAAAATCAGTCTCTCCTTTTCATTCCGTATAAAGAATGACAAGGATACACTGTTGGCAAATTTAAGTTCAGGTTTAGAAAACCATGCCAGAATCGAATCTTGAATAAGATGTGATTTATTTAGATAGAAAAAAATAATACCCGGGAATGAATAATGTGGCCTAGTTTGTATCCGGTGTTACTATTGCATTGCATTTTAACACGAAGGAGTAATTATATTATACTTACTAATATCATAAACCTGGAGTTTGTTTGGTTGTTAGTTTTTTTGAAGGCGCTAATCTCAGGAAATACTGATCCGATTTGAAAAATTATTTTTGTGTTGGATTGTGCATTTATCGAGTCAGTACAATGGAGTTTGACAGTTGAGTGTCGATAAATCGCTTTATCATATCGCGTTTTGTTACTCATGCTAGGGGGCAGCAGTGATAAAAGTTGTGAAGGCGCGAATTCAAAGAAATCCCAAACGTAAGCAGAGACTATTTGCCCTTCAGATGGGGTTAAGCAGAACCACGGTGAAAAGGGTGTTAAATGAAGACTTAGGGCTTCGGGCATATCGAAAAAAAACAGGACATCGTTTGAATGCTCGTCTAATGGACCTGAGACTGAAGAGATGCCGCGCTTTGTTGAAGCGGTACGAAAAAAATATCGGGAAATTCTTTTTTCGGATGAAAAATTTTTTACCGTAGAAGAGAGCTACAACAAATAAAATGACAAGCTGTACGCACACAGTAGTGAAGAAGCGAGCAACCTTATTCCGCGTGTCCAACGAGGTCATTTTCCATCCTCGCTCATGGTATGGTTGGGAGTTTCTTATTGGGGCTTAAGAGAGGTACATTTTTGTGAGAAAGGAGTAAGATCGAATGCAGTTGTGTATCAAAATACAGTCCTGATGAACCTTGTGGAACCTGTTCCTCATACCATGTTCGATAACAGACACTGGGTATTGCAACAAGATTCGGCGCCAGCTCATAGAGCGAAGAGCACACAAGACTGGCTGGCAGCGCGTGAAATCGACTTCATCTGGCACGAAGACTGGTCCTCCTCCAGTCCAGATATGAGTCCGTTAGATTACAAGATTTGGCAACACTTGGAGGAAAAGGCTTGCTCAAAGCCTCATTCCTTCAATTTGGAGTCACTCAAGACATCCTTGATTAAGGCATCCGCCGATATTGACATGGACCTCATTCGTGCTGCGATAGACGACTGGCCGCGCAGATTGAAAGCCTGTATTCAAAATCACGGAGGTAATTTTGAATAAACTTTATTGTCATAAGAATCTATGTTTTGTTAAGTTCATTTTGGTATATAAATGGTTACATAATGAATAAACTTGTTTCAATTATTTTATATTAAACATGTGACAGAATTTATGACCTGACTAGGTATAGAGTAAACCTGTTTATTTTACACAATGTCGGTGGGCGAGCAGGCACTCTATACAATCAATAGGAATAGTATACGTTAATTAGGCAAAGTATGAAATGGAAAATATTTTTTATAATATTCCATACATTGCCTAGGTATTGTATAGAATACATGCATAATATAGATTGTTGGTGACATTCCTTGACTTGGGTACAGAGCTCGTATCCATCATACAAACCCTTGTCCTACCGTATTCGAACTCTGGAGCCCTGAATTGGCGACTTGAAACCCGGCGTACATACCACTCGCAACATGGAGGAGCACTGAACTCATACACATAAGATTTTTAAAGTTGTAGATTATTCTAGTAAGTGTAATAGATTGTGGCTCATTCGTTACAGCTCACTAACTTTTTGTCTGAGAACCTGTGATTTTGTGCCGCGTGCATTGCCTTATGTAAATTCACTTAAGTAAATCTTTAGAAATCCAAATTTACAACCGTATTCATGGAACACATTGAATTTCAGTCTTCGTTTTGTTTTCGATAAGTCAGCATTCACATCAGTAAGTTTCTTTTTAATCACTAAATAAAAAACCGTTTAAAATTTAACGAAAATCGTAAGTCAGGTTGGATTAATTCATGATTGAACCTATTCCTTATTAAATAAAAATATTGGGCTAAGGCGAGCATGAGTTATTGACTACCCTGTGATATTTTTTATGACATCCTAATGTTTTAAAATTTTAAACAGAATATCGTAATTTCATAATAAAGCCTTACTACGTCGTGATCTTCTTCATAAAATGTTATTTTAACTAATGTATAAGCCATACTTTTGGTCGTGTATTATTTATTTCCGATCAAAATCCAATATTATTTTCATTTTTAGGCACTATTCAGATCACGAAGAAATTCAGACGCAAAGTTTTCCAGTGCCTTCCAAAATGCAAGATCACATAACAATTCTGGTGATACTTACGAGTCTTCTTTTACTCGTTGAAAGTGCAATAAGATGCGAATACAGAAAATATGTAAGTAATAAATAAATATTTCCAACACTCACACCAATTAGCCTAGCCCCAAAGTAAGCACTGTAAGGCTTGTGTTATGGTATACTAGGGTAACGGATAGAATACATATACAGTACGTATATAAGAATATTTATATAGAAATGCATATTAAACATCCATGACTAGAGTACAAATGCTCGTAGACCTCTCGAGTCGGCGACCCCATGAAAACCGGCATCCAAAGCACTCGGCCATGGAGGTCGTCAAATATTAATATTATAGTATTATAATACTTACTTTATACCATAGTGTATTTATCCTTTGCATGGCGGGCAGATCGCAACTTCTTCCAAAATTTCGTTGGGGCTTAGCCAAGGAGCATTCTTTTGACCTTGAACTATAACGCAACAAGTTTCTAACAAGGTTTTTGTCGTTCATTTCCTCTATATCAAATATTGGAATAAGTACGGAATTAACAAGTGTGTGAGGATATAACTTTGAAGTTTATTATTTAATATCTTGCGCCAGGACTTCGTGCTCATTAAAGTAACTTTTTTTGTGAATCCCATAGGAACTTAACATTTTTCCGGGCTATAAAGTATCCTTTGCGTCAATCTAGATGATAAACTATATTTATGCCAAATTTCAAAGGTTATGATATAAGAACGTTAGCTGTTTTGTAATATGTTGCAGCTCATTCCTGGGAATGTTTACTACTTATACAGTCCAGGTTATCCAAGGGACTTCGCGACAGCAGTGAACTGCAGGTGGATTGTAACCACAACTCCTGGATTCGTGTGTCGTCTGGAATGTTTGCAGTTTGTATTGGAAGAGGTGAGATCATATTTTCCACATGAAGGGCCCACCGGTTTGTCCTACTAGTGGGACCACGGTATACCACTACGCCCGTGGTCCATAATATGACACGCTAAAAGAGGTTGTGGAAAGTTACGATTTTCTTTTAGCATTAGCTGCGCATTGAAATTAATCGTTACTGTCCAGGAGCGTACTTAATTCCAAGTTCAAACACACATTTTAGCGCATTTCATTTAGTACTAAAGCCACTCAAGCCTCACGCAGCGCAGGTGTGGGATAAGCATAAGCCCATAAGTTAACCCAGTTTCAACACCACTCAAAGACAATAAAGTACATTATAGTTATGTTGTTATTCATTTTATTGTTTTAATCTTTATATATATAATTCTTCTGTGAGTGTGTATGTCACTGAACTTCTCTCAAACGACTGGACCGATTTTGATGAAATTTTTTGTGTGTGTTCAAGGGGATCTGAGAATGGTTTAGATTCACAATTTTGTCCGCTGGACAATGTTTTTTTAGTTAATTTTTTTTATGGCGGTACGAAGTTCGCTGGGTCAGCTAGTAGTTTTATACGAATTGAACATTATTTCTTCAGAATCCGTCGTGCTCGTCAGATCGATTTTTAGTATCGAACATTGGGGATTCATTATTTATGACAGCTAATCTATATTGTGGGAAGCGTTCCGTCACTGAAGTTTCTCTCGGTCCGAGGATTAGCATGAGTAAGTTAAAAATATTGTTTTTTTTTATGAAAAAGTAAATAGTCCTAAGTCACTCGATAACACCAAACATAAATTGGATCCTTAAATACTTTTTTTTTTCTTCGTGGGAGAAATGCCTTACGCGGCGCGGCGCTCACTGAAAACCGGGTTATGTCGGGCTCTCCCCTGCCTACCCACTAGACAAAAAGTAGTTTTCCACGCGTGCCCCTTTAATTTTAGCAATAGGTGTCGCTATTGGCCCAAAACGCACACTAGCTGCTTATCTAATCAAGTATGAATCCAAGAATATTTATAATAAGCCAACGATCGTTTTCCTATTCTTACTGAGGCGAGTCGCGTTTTCGTAAAAGTCCTATCTTTTATCAGTTGATTGAGATCGTCATTGTCTAATTATCCGCGTTTTAGCTAAATCTTTAGGATTCTCGAAAACATTCGATTTATCAAATCAATCTACGACACACATATCACTATAAACTAAAGTACCTATTTCCATCCGTTACCATAGTACTAATCACATAACACTAGCCTTACTGTACTCTTTTGTTGATGAGATGTATTGGCTCCAGATTTAAGGAAAGTAAAAAAAATCCTTATAATTTGTTACTTAAATTTCAGCTTTACAAGCCACCACCAACACAACAGGCGGCAGGTTTCTTTGTCAAGTTTCAGCTGAGAAACAAAATCTATTTGGTAATTAATTTTTTTATTCAAACATGATAATTATTAATGTCCCCACTGCTGGGGCACAGGCCTTCTCTTGTTGATGGAGAATAGAGAGATTGAGCCATGACCCACCGCGCGGGCCCAGTTCGGATCGGTGTGTGCTATGACTGCAGATGCAGCCGGGACCAACGGCTTAACGTGCCTTCCAAAGCACGGATTTCGCGATAATAAGTATAAGTAATTTAATCCCATCCAATGACCGCCCATTGCGAAAGTTGCTTAACTTCTACGATCACTGGCCGAACGCGCTATCCATTTACGCCATCGAGTTCCTCTATTTTCTATTTACTTAAAAGTAAAGCTAAAATAAAATACCTAGGAATTAAATCTTTATTGTTTTTATTTCAGAAAATCACTCGACATTCAGTGTCGGTCGTTCAAATTCTAAATTAGATCAGCCGTGGTTCAACACGTGGTTCGGCTCCATCAGGGAAATCACATCACAACTCAATTTTAATCAATATTTTAATAAATAAATTGTACCTTTATAATATTTTTTAAGAACAAAGAACAAGAGAATCGATACATTTAATTAAATTTGAAAACGATGGTACACACGCGACAACTGTAACTACCGAAAAGCGAAATAAACTAATTAAATTACTGAAAAATATTGCTTTATTTCTTTTAAAATTAGGTATTGATACTACTTATTAAAATTTATTTTAAAAACATAACTTATAAATATGTTACCGGAAAGTGTCGGGTTTTTATTTAACCTTAATCCTGATTATATAAATTTTAAGTACAAAGGTAAATGCTTTTAATCCTACTATTATATCGGTGTCGTGCGAGGCGGGTCGTTGCGTTCCCTAAAATATGGTTGAGCGAAGCGATGGCTGGTTCATGCGTCATGCTCGTGAACTGGTGCTGCCAGCGGAGATGATTCTGCTCTTACTTCATTGGGTACTATTAATCGTTCATTTTATTTTTTTTGCCTAAACAGTAGGACACAGCATTCCTAAACTTTGTTAAACCAGTTTTTTATATATAGTCATAATTTTTATATTACATATTTACATTTGCAATGGAAAGTGACTTTATGAGTTGCCTCATATTGAAGTCATTTTTGAAAGAAAGAAAAAATATTTATTCAGTACCATGACCATTTTGATAACATACTTTACATACACAAGTAATATACATGGTGCTGAAAAGGTATCTACTAAGCATAATGTCAGAGCATCTAACGATGCTTCGACGCTGGTCTTCCGCAGTCTTTTCAATTTGACGACTGTGTATATAATACAGGGAGAAAAAAACAGCCCTTGCTGAGTTTCTCGCCGGTTCTTCTCAGTACAAGGTCTCCCTCCGTACATTTGCGAACCGATGGCGTGGCTTTTCGACATTCACAAGTGCTTGTAACAGCCTAGACTGAATAAACGATATTGAATTTTGAATTTATAATATTATAAACGTGAAAGTTTGTATGTTTGTGACACAATCACGCAAAAATTACAGAACGGATTTGGCTAAAATTTGGTAAGCATATAGTTTATGACCTGCATTGAGACATATGGTACTTTATATCCAGGAAAAATGGTAGGTTCCTATGGTTTTCTCAATAACTAAAGTTAACATGGACGAAGTCGCAGGCGGCCGCTAGTAAAATATGCTAAATACTTTTCTAATTAGACTTGCAATTAAACAATTTTCACCTTCGCTTCTACAATTAGAAGAAGATTTCATAGTTCTATTAGAAACTTTACCAGAGCTATGGAATTATATATTACTCCAACAATTATAAAAGACGAGCTGGTTACAATAAGTTGCTCTAAATTAAAGAAAATTAAGTCATCAGAGATCTGGAACCGGTCTTGATGAACTGTACACACCAAGAACAAAAACATTCAAATTGCTAAGTTTTTACCCGGCTGCGCAATACAAGAGCGCGCAGCGCGACGCGCAGACAGGATTATGTGTTTAACAGTCTATATATGTATGTTCCTTTGTGGCACACTAGAGACCAAACGCCTATACCGATTTTCATGATTCATACATCAATCGATTCGTCTCAATCATGGGAGTGCTACTAAAGATATGATAGTAATCAAAATTCAATATGGGCAAAATAAGGCGCCCTATTGTGACGAAGTAAAAAAAAATAAGTTGACAAAATATGTCGAGTGGGGTATCACTGTCTAGATAATCAAAAATGATATTTAGGTTCCTAACACCATTTTTCATTTAATATGATTGTTTAGGATCTACAACGCTTCAAAGTTGTATATTAACCACTTACGCTTTTAATTTCAATCTTACGTTTGTATGGATCTTTGTTACTCTTTCACCTAAAAAATACTGAATGGATTTTAATAAAACTTAACAGTAATATAGCTCATATATGATAATTACATATATATATAATAATTTAACCAGAACCAGAGAACCAGAGTCACCGACATAGTCCACCGAATTAGCAAACTGAAGTGGCAGTGGGCTGGTCACATTAGCCGCAGAACTGACGGCCGATGGAGCCGTAAAGTTCTTGAGTGGAGACCGCGACTCGGTAAACGTAGTGTGGGACGCCCTGAGACAAGATGGGATGATGACATTCGTAGGCTGGCTGGAGTGGGCTGGATGAGAGTGGCAGAAAATCTGGAGCAGTGGCGTGCATTAGGAGAGACCTATGTCCAGCAGTGGACGAGCATGGGTCGATGATGATAATAATTTATGTAGTTATTGAGTGAATTGGCCAATATATAACAATAAGTGTCACATAAGACGGGAAAAAATCTCCCATCTGCGAGCCATTTTGGCCTGCACTGAAAAAACAATAAAAGTTACATGAATGTAATGTAGATTGAAAATGTATCTCTTAAATAGTTCTAAAAAAAAGTCCGTGACGACATATATCTATTTTTAATGTGTAAGTCATTACCGCTAAAATAGTGAATCAAAACTAAAATATTATTTGATATCTATTTCCAAAATGCACATTTTGTATTAACAAATCATTTTTTATCAAAACAAATACTTTTATTGATTTTGATATTTAAAGACGAAAAACTTTGCTTTTTACACTATGTCATTTCGACAAATATTTAAAAAGTTACAACGATGACAAAGTGATAGCGCGGTGTACTATGTAAGAGAAAAAAAATGGGGAATTCGCAGTATCTGATCCTATACGAAGGACTAACAATAAAACTGTGATACAGTTCCTTCTTATTAAATGATGAAAAATATATTATCATAATAGGTATTTATGATTATTGAATTTTAATGAAAAACTCAGAATTTTACTGTTTTTCATTTTTTTAACGATATTACTTAATGTTACAAAAAAGGTTTTCTTAATATAATGACAAAATTTGGGTTTCTTCAAAAGAAACATAGAGTCGTTTTGATGATTCGACGACGCCTATGTGATGCTCCTGAAGCTGCAATCGTCCATAGACCATGGTGACCGCTTACCATTAGGTAGACCGTGTAATTTTTAGACATTTTAGTTAAATGATTTTAGACATTTTATTTATAATGATGTATTTAACGTCTCTGCCAATTTTCAGCTCTATGCGAATTATCCCTAAGTTATGACTTATTTTTGTCTATTTTGACTGGACTATAGAGAGAATTTACTTGTCCACACAGTCAGTAGAAAGAGCATGTAAAGAGCCATCTGAAATCGAAGAGGATGAAGATGAGTACACAAGTCATTACCTACATAGCAGGTAATGTGGTTCATGTCCTAATTAAAGAAATCAAATGCGATATTTTCCCTGGAGCCCTAATATCAGATTCAAGTAATAATTAACATAAATTTATTTAGTTAAAAGATAAAGGTGGCCTGATATATCCGTCCATTGTGATGTTATAAAAATATTCAAAAGTGCAGAAACTATAATACGATAATATGCAGATAATTTGAAGACTGTCGTAAAAGAAATTTTAGTCCCAAAAATATAAAAAAGTTTATTGGCACTTCATTATTTGATGACATATCATTTCATCAACTCGGTGAATTCCCATTATCTATCCACGTAACAGATTCAATTAAAGTGGTACCAATTGAAAAATACATAGATATACGTCTATATTTCTTTTGAAAAATACCTTTAAAATATAACAAAGCGTCACCTTTTTTATAAATATATATTGTTTCAAGGTCAATAAATAACTATCTGTAGTAATGCGTTTTACATTAAATCATTTTCTTTATCTTTACTAACTTTGACAGGATACAAAAAATTCCATACAATCAAGTCAAGTCCAACTCGCACTTGGCATACCTATTTAATATCGATAATATTTCATCGACTCAGTGTCAACCACTAGCGCTAAAATCGGTGTGAACGGACGAACGAACCAAAACGCACACAGAGCTACCAAATATTCTTGGATTCACACTTGATTAGGTTATCAAGTGTGAATCCAAGAATATTTATAATAAGCCAATGATTGTTTTCCCAATCTTATCGAGGCGCAAAATTCGCAAAAATCCTATCGTTTATCAGTGAAATTGAGAAATGTCATGTCATTGTCTTATTATCCGCGTTTTAGCAAATTTTTTTGGCTTCTCGAAAAAACAAAAATCGATTTATCAAATCAATCTACAACTTATATATCACTATACACCAGACTTCCTATTTCCATCCGTTACCATAGTACTAATCACATAACACTAGCCTTACTGTATTCTTTTGTTGAGGAGATGTATTGGTTCCAGATTTAAGGAAAGTAAAGTTTTCCTAATATTTTGTTACTTTAATTTCAGCTTTACAAGCCACCACTAACACAACAGGCGACAGGTTTCTTTGTCAAGTTTCAACTGAGAAACAAAATCCATTTGGTAATTAAATCTTCTATTCAAACATGATAATCACCAGCCTATTAATGTCCCCACTGCTGGGGCACAGGCCTTCCCTTGTGGATGGAGAATAGAGAGATTGAGCCATGACCCACCGCGGGGGCCCAGTTCGGATTTTTGTGTGCTATGACTGCAGATGCAGCCGAGACCAACGGCTTAACGTGCCTTCCGAAGCAGGGAAGAGTTCGCGATAATAAGTTAAGGTAATTCAATCCCATCCAATGCAATTGCGAAAGTTGTTTAACTTCTACGATCACAGGTTGAACGCGCTATCCACTTACGCCATCGAGTTCGTCTATTTCCTATTTACTTCTAAGTAAAGGTAAAATAAAATACCTAAGAATTAAATCTTAATTGTTTTAGTTCAAATTCTAGATTAGATCAGCCGTGGTTCAACACGTGGTTCGGCTCCATCAAGGAAATCACATCGCAACTGAATTTAAATCACCATTATAATAAATAAATTGTACTTTTATTATATTTTTGAAGAACAAGAGAATCGATACATTTAATTAAATTCGAAAACGATGGTACACACGCGACTACTGTAACTACCTAAAAGCGAAATAAACTAATCATCATCATCATCATCAGCCTCTTAATGTCCCCACTGCTGGGGCACAGTCCTTCCCCATCATCCATAGGGAGATTGGGCCATGACCAACC